CCATTTCATAAGCGTTTTAAGAATATATTCAATATTAATATTACTATTATTTTTGTTATTATTATCATTACTATCAGCATTATAATTATTATAATAATATGAATAGTAATTATTATTATTTGTATTACCATTTCTATTACTATTATTATCGGTATTATTGTTATTATTATTATATTTATTATTTTTTACACTATTTTCTTATTATTATTATTAATATTATTATTATTACTATTATTATTGCTGTTATTCTTGTCAGTGTTATTTTCATCAGCATTATTCGCTATAATTATAACATAACATCCGAATTCAGCGTATTGCAGTTATGGTAGATTTATTACAACTCCATCAACGCATGCATCATGCCAATGTTCATATTTCATTCGAATCCTCCTTTGATTATTTATTGCTCGATCGTAACAATTATTCAAATTTCTCTCGATAAATTTGCTCTGAAACTCAAAAATGAGCTTCGATGAGGAACAAATACAATAATACGATTTAAGAATAACTGAGTGATTAGTATTGCATAACTGTTATCATTGCATAAAATTCTGTTTGTAGTATCGTTGATTACACTTTAACACTAGCATATCATATTCTCATAGAGTGCTTTGAAAAAATGCACATTTTGTGCTGCTTATCTGAACATCGCAATCTCTTTCTCTTGCTTCAAACTGCCAGCTGATGTTTACATATTTTCGTGGTGAATGATCACTGAATATCGTCATTCTTAAGTTGCAGTCACTTTTCTTGCTTCAACAAATATGCTTTGTTCGTAATGAAAATTCATTCCATCCATCCATAATACATCGTTTTGTCGGTTTCAATCTAGGCCTCAACTGCTCATCAAAAAGTGTTTTTTCATCGTGATTGATTAGAAACCATTCCACTGATAATGCTATCATAGTAATGTCACAGTCGTCGATGAACTGAATCACAATTCTCCAGTCGCATCTTACTGATTACAAGTAGCCATTTGGGAGGCTTAGTGGCATTATCAGCAAAGGTATTTTTAGGCGAGAACTGAAAAAATCACGTGAGCGTTTGATGTCTCCACAATATTGAGATATGAGTGAATCTCTACAACAATGTTCACATTCCACAATCGAAAGCCAACGCAAGTCTTTCTAATGGGGATGGTATTGGCTGATGTGATTTTGTTGCTTTCAGCGGGAAAATGTTTTGAAATTTAGTTTAGAAACAGCACTTTTTGATACGGAATAATTCTAGAATTCATCACATTCGTAATACACCGGATGTAGTGATTACAAAGGCACAAAAAATTTTTAATGTAAAATTTAAAAAATTACTTCTATTAGCGTTAGTCACGCGAACATACATTTATTAATTCCTCATCATTCTCACTCATTCATTTCCCTCGTGCCGTTGACAATTGCTTTCGATGGACTATCCGAATTTCGAAAACTTTCACTGAAATAATACGAACTCTGATCACTTTGCTGGAGTATGCTGCTCTTGAATCACTGCTCAATTACATCTGATTTCGATAATAGACAAACTCTTGTTTCCAGTGGATTTACATAATAAAGTATTCAATAATATTATATATGAAATTTTCCGACTATTATTTCTAATAGTTATACTTAATGTAGAACTTGAATATGTGAAAATTCACGATCCTTTAACCATTTCAGTGAGAATTCCAGTTTGGTTCTGTAAATTTATGCACCATATAACTATAACTATTCAATATTAGCCGTGCAAATGAGATGTTTTTTTTTTCTTGCTTTAAACTGATAGAGCATTCGCACAGTTTTATGAATGCATAATAAATGCATGTAATAATAATCAGTTTAACTGCATTCATAAGCAACATTTTCAATTGTTTAACCGTTCGATCACAAATAATAAAATCAAGAATTTCATTGCAATCGCTGAACATTTTCCGTAAGAATTCAGATGATTCAAGCAGTATGAAATTCATAAATATTCATATGAATAAATAAACGTAGCACAAAGATACATTCATAAATTAAACAAATAATTCTTTTCGAGTGTTGTTCTTCGAATGCAATTTCTTCACATTTCGCATCTTTCGTTTGTTGATCACCATATTCGATTGAGACGATGATGATTCAATAAACAAACTTTGCATTGCAATCGAAATATTCATTTGCCATATTATTTAGCGTTACCTGTACTTAGTATCTCAACTCATAAACACCACTCTCATCGCTTAGCATTGTGCCGAACAAAATTAGCGAATTGTTGCATGGCGATTATTCACTGATCACGTCATCCGAATACACTACGCTATCACACGTTTCTCTTTCTCGGCCTCGTTCATGAATTTTCAAGTTTTTCTCCCCCTCCCCCTCCATTTCAGGGTGGTACCATTTCAGATGAGTGTATAGGAATTATGAATCCTTTTATAGGTCATCCTTTTATAGGTTTCGAGAGCGCATACTTATCCTAGATTCAAAATTTAGTGCAATGAAATATGTGATTTTTTAAATCATTCGAAGTGAATACCAAAGCATGAATCTGATCTATNNNNGCAAGATGACAAGTTTCTTGCACATCTAAATGATGAATCAGAAATGTGAATTTATGTGGGTATAGTTGTTTAGATATTAGTGATGATGCGATGAGGAAATCGTTAGTGGTTTAGTGAGAAAAAGAACCACGAATGAGGCGATTAGTTAAAGTTTATATCTAATTAGATCGGATCTTCTCTAGTCTGTTGTTATGATGTTTGGTGACAATGAAAGAGAGATGATGAAATTTGAGGGAGGAAAGGAGAAAGGGCATTAGAGCCAAACGCATGAATGAATGACTGACTTATTGTAAACGGATTGGTGGATTTCATAGGGATGAGAATGATGAGTCATCATTCAAGGATAAAATTAACTCGAAGCATATATAAGCCAACGCCAGGACGAATCATCAGCGGCACTGATGATGAAGAAATAAACGTATCGAATGACGAAGCGGTGCAGGCACATGCCTATTTAACTTCGATTTCATGTACTAATGCATGGATTATTATGCGTTGTTCTAGTAGTTGTCTATCCTTTGTTTTGAACTCATACAACTTTTCCGTTTTTTCATCAGTTCATTTGTAGAATTGTAGAATAGAGAGCAAAACTTTATGTACACACTTTCGATGACCTTTCGAGAAAGGAGTCTCTCCGAGGGAAAACTTTGTTGAACTAATAAAACCGGCAAATTTTGGGATGAACATTGAGAGTTTAAACTTTTGAGAAGTTGATTATTCACAGCCTAACTATTGATATGGCTTATCCTAATTCGTTAACTGTTGCTCATTATGGGAGATGTCAGGAATGTTCTTCGATGGGAGGATCATAGTTGAAATTTTGGAAGTTCATTATTACTCCGCTTAGGAGATGAATCGCACTGTGATCAGTTGACGGCAACAGCACTGGAATTAGAGACGAGTGTTCGTGCTGAATAAGTTTGGAAGGAATGCATTTGCCAACAGTAATTTTTATTGAATGTGCAATGGTCATTACAATAATCGTATTCCTGCAGCACATTCAGATTGAGCATTTAGGTTCCGTTGCATGAAAATCAATAACACAGTGAATCAGGTGATGTGTCCAAAACAAAATGTTCTGTAACAAGCCGTAAGATTCTGTCCTTTGAATTTCATGTAATTAAGAAAAATGTTGGCAGTGCAAAGTGGACGAATATAATATCCCGCATTAGGTGGATATTCATCGACGTTTTGAAATACGGATTCGATGAGTTGTGAGTGTAAGATGAGTACTATACAACGATTATAATGTCAACAATCTTTTTGAACATATGGTTGACGAGCGAGTGAACATCCTCATTGAGTGGATGAAACCATGGATACACTTAAAATCAGAGTGGCCATTTATAATATTCTTTCTCTTCTCTTCTATGCAACGATCATGAAAAAGAGTTATTTCAGAAAAATCGGATAGTTTACTTCCGTTTCTTTTTCGTTCACATCATTATGAGGAGTAGTATTGGACTGATGCGAGATTGATTTCTCGAAGAGCGATATCGAAATTTAGAGTGAATGATTTTTGAATTGTTTTCTTCATGTATGCAATAATAATAATAATGCATAAATGCACTTGTGATTTTGTATTGACCGTTATTGTATTGATCGTATCGAAGTATTGAGCGGTTGGTGTTTGTGTGACGGCCGAATAGTTGATAATGGATGTTAGCGACGTGAGTATATTAGACTGGGTATGTTGCTTTGGATTGTAATCGTTCAGGCGTTTCTTTGTTGTTGTTTTCGGTGAATCGCGTTTGACAGATCTGTGGAGACGCGCGTTTATCGAACTGTTTGTTTGCATTTCATCGTGTTTCACGGCAAAACGAATTTGTTTGTTCATTTATGCAATTGGATATTCCATGCGTTCTTATCGTCGTCAAACTATCAGTTCACTTATTCTCTGAAACGTGCGTACGATCTGAGATGAGAGTAAAGAATTGTTTATATCCGCTCAAAACGAATCAATTGTTTTCTTGTTTTGTGCCAACTCGGTCAGTCGTTCCATATTTTTAGACGATGGCGATGGCAGAGCATGACTCGAGGGAGTACGGGGTTGAAGACCTCGTGCTTCTTACTGAACTTGACCTTCCGTCAATCATCTCAAACCTGCGTTTGAGGTATTAATCGCGTTGTAATTCATTCCAACATTTTAATTCATTGCATAAAGAAACTTCATATTACGTATTTAGTTTATTAGTGCTGAATTCAGCGGCTTCGATAATAACGATGACCATAATAATTACGATTGACACCACGCCATTGTAATCCATATTAGTGATCAGTTATTTCAAGCTTAGTCACATTTTTGGTTCACTTCTTCCAGACGGTTTATGACAAGTAAAATTTTATGTATTCTTCATTGAAAAGATACAATTGCTCGTCACTGCTTCAATTGCCTAAAAAAATTAGAGTTCAGGTTCTCAACAGGACGTATCTATACATACATAGGTGAAGTACTTGTGGCAGTGAATCCATATCGTCAATTACCATTATACGACAAACCGATGGTTGAAAAATACAAGGGTCGTGAGATGTACGAGCGATCGCCACATGCATTTGCCATAGCAGATGCAGCTTACCGGGCGATGAAACGTCATGGCCGTGATACTTGCATTGTTATTTCGGGTTAGAGCACTCGAACTTAATCGTTTCACGTTGCTTGCAGCTGATTAGAGAACTGATCATTCCTCCAACATTGTTTAGCATCACTTCAAATAACTTTACTCCTCCGAATTTTTCATTTCTTAGGAATTCCTCTGTACCGAATAACTGACGGCATCAACTGATGATGAAAAATACAGGAATTGATCAGATCGTCTCGATAAGATCGTGTTATGAAGAAGCAGTTGAGGTATTTCAGGTGAATCTGGTTCGGGAAAAACCGAAACGAGTAAAATTATTATGCGATATTTGTCCGCCATCACTAACATAGAGCAGCAACGCGAAATTGAACGGTTTTTTCTTTCATTTTTGATGTGAAAAATGAGTGTAATGACATGTTGGAAATTTTTTGACGGTTGCTATCGAGATTATTTTATTATTGAAAGACTGATCCCATGAATTATTTTCAGTACGAAAAGCTCTAATCAGCATTGATTTACGTGAGCAACCGGGCTGAAATACATTCAGAGCCATTGATACTTCATATTGCTAATTGTAAATGCAAAGAAATCTTTTCATTCAGCATCAAAGACGTACTTCTGCGTTCAACAGCAATATTGGAATCGATGGGCTGTGCGTGCACCAATCGTAACGATAATTCGAGTCGTTTCGGCAAATATATGTGCATCAATTTCAACTTTAACGGTGATCCTGTTGGAGGACATATTAATAAATACCTTCTTGAAAAGGTTCATTCTTCGCTCACTCCTCATCATGCTACACTAGAAACATCGTATTCATTTAATTCATCCACATAAAGGCTTTGCTTTTTGCATTTAAAAATCAGTCCGAAAGGTACCAGTGAATATTCATCCCGAATGAAATGAACAAGTCTGTCAATATGTAGAATGGGTTGTTAATGCTGACTGGATAAATTTATTCCCAATAAAATAATGTATGGAATATTTTTCAATTCACTCTTTACCAACTTAGTAACTGAAGGGATTAATTGGACTTCCGTTCTGCTTCCAACAACACTGATATTGCAGTCACGTGTGGTACGTCAACAAATCGGTGAGCGTAACTTCCATTCATTTTATCAAATACTGGCTGGTTTTGACGAGGCTCTGCTGCACGAGCTCGGTCTGGAACGTGATCCCAAAAAGTATTTCTATCTTAATCAAGGGAAAGCGGAGAAGGTTCGTTTCTACTCAACAACGCTTTTATGGTTGTTCTCCTTATTCGATTCCTTTCAGCACTGTTCTCGTTGAATCGATGCAAACGGTTCCAGTTATATCTTATGCATATGTGAACATACCAATTAATTAATTGTATTGTACGAAATTTGTATCGTAAAAGATTTTAATCATTTTTTGTTTGTTTTAGTGTAACGAGACGTCCGTTTTGCAGGTGGCTTCAATTGACGACGCGAAGGATTTCAAAGAAGTTCAGCATGCCCTCAAAACGATTACCACTTTCGAACCAGAAGCTGTGAAGCAGGTGATATCTATGAGTTCGTAACTGATTGTGAGAGTGATAAGCAGTGGATGCTTGTAGTATATGAATGTAAACGATACGTCTTTCAGTCACAATATAGCTTTATATGACTGATAGTGAGAGTTGCGGTCGTTTAAGGCGAACTGACGTGAGCCAAACTGATGAATTTGCATGAAAAAATGATGGAAGCATTATGTTTTGTATCTTGCAAAGTGTCACTATTATTGCCATCAGCAGTATTATTATTGTCATCATCATTATCACTTACCGATTAAATGAGTTACCATAATTGACTAATTTATGTAGATGTGGCATATTTTGGCATCAATTCTGTTAATTGGTAATCTGAAATTCTCGGAAGGTGAAAAAGCTGAGCAGAGTAAAGTTTCGGACAGCTCAGCACTTCAGACAGCAGCAAGAGTGCTCGACGTCACTCCAAAAGATCTTGAGACGGCTCTTTGTGAAAAGGTTATTCATTTCACATCATTTAAATTCAGTTTGAATCGAAACGTTCAATTAGTCAGAGAACATTCATTCAACATTTACGTATTGCGCGAACTACACGATAGCAATGAAATTCAATTGTAATGCAGTGGAACGTTTGATTGAATCAAAAATCAGATTCAGTTTCCAATTATTTCCGCCAAAAGTGCAGTTCTTGTTCGATTCAGTCTTATCGGTGAAAAAAATTATAAATATTTAATGTTTTTCGAATGCGTCTCTTGTTCATCTCCAATTTTTATCGCTTCATCAATTCAACAATTCAGTCATTTGTCACTGAATGTTCANTCGTTCAATTCAGGTTGTCGCTGCACACGGTGATGTGGTCAGGAAACGTCACGATGTCCACGCGGCTGCATATACTCGAGATGCCTTAGCCAAGGTTCATCTCTTCTTATTTCAATCGTTTTCCCATTTGCGACTGATCTTGTGACATTTTTGAGTTGATATTAGCGCTGACTGCAATATCCCTATGGAATTTTTGTTCAGTTCTCACATCAAAAAACTAGTCGTTTGGTCAGTCGTAATGAAAATGCTCACTTCACTTTAGGCAGTCTACGATCGTTTATTCGCATGGGTCGTACAATGCGTGAACGATGCGATCAGCGTGAAAGATACCAGTAGGTATGGCAAAAGCAGTGTGCTTGGCGTTCTTGATATTTACGGATTTGAAATTTTCGGCATTAATAGGTTGGTTCGTTTATCTTTTTTTTAACTTCTAATTCACATGACACGTTCGATATGATAGTATGATTGTGAGCTGAATGAAATTCAATTATATATTCAATGTAAAATTCAGTTTCGAGCAACTCTGTATCAACTATTGTAATGAGAAATTACAACAGCTTTTCATCGAACTGGTGCTGAGACAAGAACAAGAAGAGTATAAACGGGAAGGAATTGAATGGAAGCAGGTAGATAGACACTTACTTTTTATTTGATTCATTCCGTTGATTGTAAGTGCCTGAAGGAATGAAACCATGAGCGCTTTCTCTTTTTTCAGTTACCTATCTCCGATTAGTTTGACAGCTATAAGAATTACTGAAGAAGTGTTGTTCATCATATTGTGTTTTCTCTTTTCAGGTGGAATACTTCAACAACAAAATCATCTGCGATCTGGTGGAATTACCTAGAACCGGTATCATCTCACTGCTAGACGAGGCCTGTTTCACTATCGGTAATGTCACCGATAAGGTATTGTTTGAAGTTGTTCATAGATCTGATGCCACCTTTCAAGCGCTAAGCTAAGAGTCTGTTCTTCTCCATTTAATATTGGTCTCAAGCATTTTTGTCCGTCGAACAAGCGATTCAATATCGCGCCAAGTTGTAATGTCGATTAGTCGAGACCATCACAACCTGAAATATATTTGACTGTACCAATGCTGAACAGATGTAAGAAATGCATTGAGATCGATCGTTCAATCAGNGAACAATACTCTTATTAAGTGAAGAAGTCTTTCTGCTTTCAATTGTCTTAAGAAGTTCAAAGAAGGATATATACATTGCGAATAATTTTCGAGATATTCCTCCAAGAATTGGACAAATCGTATGTCGGTCATGAACATTACATGAGTCGTCAATTGCAACCATCTGATAAAACGCTCGCCTTCGAAGACAACTTCCGTATAAAGCATTATGCGGGCGATGTGACCTACAGTGTCGCTGGATTCATCGACAAGAATCGCGATACGTTATTCCAAGATCTTAAACGACTTCTTTTCAATAGGTGATTGTGGTTGATTATCAACCGCTTTTTTAATGGAATTTTTACAAATATAGTAGATCCTAGTTTTGACAAATTTGCTTACTAGGATTCGCGGAACTTTCTTAGTTTTATTATCTCATATGAAAGGGTTTGTCTTGACCGAAGCCATCCGAACAGTTGGGGAGCAAATATTAAGTCTGTTTATGAGCAGTGAGATTTAACTGACAACTGGAGAGTGTCTTGTGGTTTACAGATATTGAAAAGCTAGGTCAAAGTTTTTCAACCGGGAGAGGGGGAAGGGGAGGGCACTCGCAACGATATTCAGGGATAGCGAGATAAGGTTTTATTTTTATACAATAAAGTAGGTGAGGACAGAGTTCAACGCGCACATGTGTGGTAAGTAGGCGAGGATGGATTATAACGTATATATTTCTCAAAAGGCTGGAACGTATTCTAATGGTATACACTTATCTACACTACAGACACTCACTGTAGTGGATGAGAGATACGGAGTGGATGTTATGGGGTGCGAGGGCATTTTAACTATTGCTGTAGGGGACGCGAGAACATCTTAAAATTTTCTGGGGGGTGCGGGAGGAAAGGTTGAGAACCTACAATCTACATAGGTAAAAGGTAAAAGTGCAAACTTTCAGTAAGAATGCGCTGGCCTCTTCGATTTTCCCAGATGGTGAGAAAGCGGTCACTGAAGTCAACAAACGACCACTGACAGCTGGAACAATGTTCAAGGTTGACTCACAATCAGATATTTTTTCATCAGAAACATTTATGTAGTGCCACCGAAATTCAATTTATTCACTCAAAAACTGCACATTGATCTGACATATTGGCCTGAACAATATGCAGTAATTCAGTGTCATGCTCTGACATAATTGTCGAATATACAGGTTTTGAACGAATTTGCTTGTAGAATTCAATGTTGGATCTTGTGGAACAGCTCGCTTCCAAAGAGCCATATTACATACGATGCATCAAGCCGAACGAAGAGAAATCGAATAGTGTTTTTGACGAGGAGCTTGTGGAACATCAGGTTTCCTCTCTTTCTTCCTTGGTCTTTACCGCCATCATTCGGTAAAAGTTTAACTTTCTCAACGAAAAACAACATACAATTTCATAACCACAATAGTGAAATACAAATTTAAGGTACGTTACTTGGGATTGCTGGAGAACGTTCGTGTCCGTCGTGCTGGCTTCGCCTTCCGAATTCCATATGATCGTTTCATACAAAGGTGGTTGTAACAAATTTCTCGTGTTTTATTAACTTATTTGAATGCTTGAACTCACAGCAGTCAAAGTTGCATAGGACGTTATAGCGTTTCTGCATTGGAACGCACTACCTTGTATAGTTTGTTTCAACAGAAGGATGCAATGAACACGTTCATATTCATTTAGGATTTACTACCTTTGCAGCACTTCGATTGTCATTCTTGTACTTTTGCAGCTGTACTGTTTGAGCGAACTGAAATAATGTGTTGAATCGCAGAAATGACTAGAAATTAGCATGTTTTCAGATACAAACTCTTGTCGAATAAAACGTGGCCGAATCCGAGATCTGGTACATCGCTAAATAATACCGTCTTGATTCTTAACGAGTATCATATGGCTGAAGATTGCGTTAATGGCAAAACCAAATTGTTCATTCGAAGTCCACAAACCGTATTCAGACTCGAAGAACTTCGTACGGAGAAGATTCCTGGTGTTATCATTTTCCTACAAAAGGTTTTTCTCATGTCTGAATTTTCTTCGCATTTTACCGTTCAATTTCGATACTTTCTTTCCTGAAGTATCATATCTTTTTCTTAACCTCATTTTTACCGAACCTGAGGAGGCTCTAAAAAAGTTTGGATTTTTACGCTAATTTTCTTCAAGATGTGGCGTGCAAAGTTGGCTCGTGAGCGCGTTAAACGAATGAGAGCGATATATCTGATCATGAATAGATTTCGTCGCTATAAATTACGTTCATACATCGTTGAGCTGGTCGCTTGCTTCCAGTTCGTTTTGTTGTTTTACTTCAGCCATTTACGAGTAATTACTTCTCTGTGCAGAATAGCATNNNNTAGTGATTTGTTTCTGTATCAATGTTTCCATGCTCACAGTTGAGAAACGATCAACGAATGTTGAGTTATTTACTCATGGCCCACATTAAAACCAGGTCTATGCTGAAGCGAGTTGTTTCTCAGCAGGGCACAGTGCTGGTCATCAGAGTCCTCCTGCTGAGATCAATTACTGAAGTTGTCAATAAAAGAGAAAAACTTAAATTTCAATAAACGTTACTATAAAGAAACCGTTTCAAGGGATGTGCGTAAGAGGCCGGATCTTGGTAAGAATTTGAAATGGCCAGTGCCACCGGCTGTGTTGCATGCGTTCGTGGAGAAACTGAAACGGATGCATGAGTTGTGGCGCGCAACGGTGATACTATCACGTATGCCCGAACACCTACGTCCAGTCGTGCCACAGAAAATGGCTGCCTATGAGGTGTTGGGTGGAAAACGTTCTGAATGGGGATACACAAGAATGTGGAAGGGTGATTACCTTGACCTGGTACATTCGTTTATCGCTCTCTCCATTCATTTACTATTCGCTTCTTCATTTGAGTTGATCACTGAGCTTTTCGAGAAACGTCTTGTTGAATATTCTCGATGAAATAATGCCACACGTAATATCCAGCAGATTCAGTCAGTATTCCACTGCAAAATGCATTCAGTGATGAGTGTTGGAATTTTGAAAGAGAACTTCATAAATTGTTGAATTCAGCCCGCTGAAATTGAATCACCAAGTCAACCGAATGATTACAAAATTGCAATGAGAGCTTTGCAAAGGGAACATCCGTTTTCGAAGGTTCTCTTCTCCTCCTATATACTGGTAAGATATGAGATAAATTTTGCGTTTCTCTATTGTTGACAGTGCATCATCATAAGTATAATTTGTCTGTTATTTATTTTGAATCTCTGTTTTGAATTTACCGTCCATTAGAAGGTGACTTGAGCCTTGCATAGCGATCACTTCATAAGTGCTACAATTTCAGGGGCAGCCACTCTATTCGAATAAAATGTTCACTCGAAAGTACGTCTAAAAAGTTTCATTGCAGAAATTCAATCGCTTCAACAAATCTGCATACCGGGTTGTGATCGTGACCGATAGATTCATTGCTAAGCTCGATGCTAAAAAGTTCAAACTCATGAAGGAGCCTGCACCTCTACAAAACGTAAGGCGCCGTATTATTCTCACACATCAATGCTCACTGACTCAATATGTGTTGGAAAGCATTTGTCTAGGAGATAATGAAACATGCCAGTCGGATGTAAATTATGAATCAGTTTAGCTTCGACGAGTTTATGTCTGAATATTAACCTCTTATCATGTGTATTCAATGATCCATTTAATGAGTTTTGTTCGGATGACGTGATGAAGGATTTAAGTTATCACGATTGAGTGTGTCCAATTTCTGCAACGGTTTTGTGGCGTTCCATTTGGGTGACAATGATTTCATTGGATGTCTTCGTAACCCGAAGAATGAAGATCGTGTTGGAGAGTTGGTCGGCGTTTTATGTCATCATTTTGAGATGTAAGTAGAATCCTTCCATCTTTTCCATATCTTCTATTTCAATATGTCATAATGCTGATTCATTGGTGATTTATTCTGAGCTGTATGGATCATTCAGTCTGAATTTATTTTAATAATCGCATGACATTCATTTTGATTCCCAAAAGCTTTATGATCTGCGTTCCACTGTTATGTGGAGTGTTCGTAAGCCTCCAACAACGATTGTTTTCTGTGTGATTTTGTCCGATCCGTCAGTAATTTTCCATTTCAGTCGGCCATTTATCTTTGAAAATTTCAGAACTTTCCAACGGAAATTGCCCGTCACGGTATCCGATTCACTTCATTGTATGTTGGGCTCAAAAGAGCGTTCTGTACATGCTTTTGAAGCACAAGGGGATCAAAATTCTCAAGTTCAACCGGTGTTCCGTAAAGTTGGTAACGATATCGAATTAACGTATCCAATCGCTGCAGCGTCATAAACCTATTCGTTGGTTACTAATAACCCGAGTTATTCGATGTAAGAAGAAAGTTCAAAACATTCCTCTGCGACTTACATCCTCACTTCATTCAAATCGTTGCCATTTTTTGAATATAGCGTGACGTATCACTCGCTCTTTTATGAATTGCCTGCAAGTTTTGTGTTGTTTTGTCGTTTTTGGTGATGTGAGTATGGCGATTATTATTGCTGCTTCATTCAGTGGCGTATGCAAAAAAAATCCTTCTGGAAAATATAAAAATTTTCGTCAGAAGAAAACTGACAATTTCAGTTAATTGAGTGTAACAAAAGCGTTAATATTCATCGATAATATTGGAGGGCCGCTGGATCTTTATCCCTTCGAATCCATATGCATCTGCCACTGATATGACAAATTTGTGAATTTTTAGATAGTACTTGGTATGTTAGAAGTTAATTATAAAGTTGTATCTTGACATTCACCTGGTTTTATTTTCAGTTTTAAATTTGAGCGATCAAAGATCGATGCCCTTATTGAATGAGTGTTATCCCAAACAGCTCTTCATGTTGCCTTTACAAATTATTTATCACGCGTTGTTGTTGTTGTATTGTTTCAACTGCGATTACAATTCTCCTTAAAATGATTGAGACAAGAGAGAGAGTAGAATTGTGTAGGAGTATGGAACATGGATGGTGTGGTTTGATAAATTCATCCAGTATTGCTTTTTGAATGCTTGTTTCTGTAAGTTTTTATTTATTCACCATAGTTTTGAATCAGTATTCAAAAAGCTTTTTGTTAGATTCTACTCTCATACTTAATGGTTCCTTTCACGAGAAACTTCATCGTTTGTTTCTGTTTCGATAAGGCCTTGAGATGAATGTTTCACCTTCTCATCGTCAATTGGCATGGATACGTCCTTTGGTTACCTCTAACTTAGCATCAAGTAGTCATCGTCTCTTCTCTCTCCACCATCCTCCCATTGTGCTAATTATATCACATTAACTGTACGGCGATTATTTGATTTGTCGCTATTGCGGTTTATTGTGTCATTCATCAACTATGCGCTATCGTATCATGTTAAAATTCTGCAGTTTCTTCGTACCTTTGACGATAACACCAAAAAAAAACATTCGTTCATGAGCGTTTATCTCATTGTAAGTAATCATCGTACTGCAGTTGAGCACGACGACGGAAGAGGAGACAGTGAGGCTGGATTCGGTTTCCATTCATAAGTGCCACAATTTCGTCTTACTTCTCGTGAATTGCCGCAATTCAACAAGTCATATACCAACGATTTTTTAAGACTTCCATCAAATGCAAATTTCAGTTTTTGCTGATCACAGCATTAAACGATCACTTTTCACAGCATTAAAATGTTCATTTATTAATAGTAATTGATATGTGTTTAAGTTAAATTTGCACGTTAAGTTATTCTCATCATTTAGTGTAATGTTTGTTGTGTGCAACAATAAAGTTTATCTGTTATTGAACCGCTTTCATATCCGCAATCTATTCGTTCAGCATGTCAAACGCGTTGGCTGATCATCGAATTCGCTGTTTCACATTGCCAATAAATCCTGCACCGCTCTTGTAGCAACCGCATAATGTTGATTTCAGCAGCAATCATTTCAACAGATTTTATATGTTGCATTGAAAATGACAACCGACAAACATTTTGCAATTTTCCTATTTAAGGGGATTTGTGCTATCATGTTATGTTTGAAGGAAATTCTTTATGCTCTCTGATGAAAACGGATTTCATACGATCAAAGAAGCATTATGAAAACGTTTGCAAAGGTACAGGAGATATTTTTAGGAGTGATTGTGAGGAAGTTTTAGTAAAAGAGAGAAAATTCTGAGTGGGAAATGAGGAGAGGAAAACATTCAAAAGGCAAGTGCTGGAAGCTAGTTTCATTGACAGACTTGAAGTTACAATTAATTGAAGGGAAGAATCGGTGAACATTTTAATGTCAGCTCTTTTTCGCACTTACAGTTCGGATTCAAATTACGTAAGTGCACGCAACCATCTCTATGCAGATCAATATTTGAGCTCTCTTCGAGCCCGTCTCCTAGGAAGTCATCGGGCAGCATCTATCCCCAAGATCACTAAACCAATGATCGAGATAAATACGGATGAGTCAGTCCATGCGCTACTACCGTTAGTGTGTGGAAAGACGGGAAGAAGAATGTGATATTGATGATAAGAGAAACGCATTAATACGTAGTGGATTGCAGTTGCTGATTGAGTAGGTTTCATGCTCCACAATGACATCGTCTTGGCGGTATCGATAAATGCCGAGAAGCTGGCGATATTGCGGATCAGTGAAGAACAGCTTGTTCGAGGCTGGTCATCGTGATCAATATAATGCATCAAATGAAACTTCTCACGTGCTACTATGAAAAGTAACAGTCATATTTAAACGAAATGCTTTGAATGGATCAATTCTCAACTGATTCGTTGGTTGGTTCAAATTAGTTACATTCAATCCGGCATGCGATACTTTGATGTTTTATGCGTGCAGAACGGCGAAAATTTTCGCTATGGATATTCACTATTTATATACATTATCAGTCAATCCATTTTACAACTTTAACAGCCAATAATTATTACTTGTGACATATGAAAAACAATAGGAGTATCACTATTACTAATTATCAGTTATGACAAGGATTTCGACACCACTCAATCTGATTCGTCACTGAACTCTGCACTAAACCGATACGACATCCTCCGAACACATTGCAACATACATCTGATGCACAGCCCAACCCTTCAGCTTCAAAATGTTGTTTCAATGCCGTCAAATTGAGCTTCTCGTCTGAAAATTCAACTATCTCATAATCAGATCGATTCAATTTTTCCAACAAAAAAANAAATTGAGCTTCTCGTCTGAAAATTCAACTATCTCATAATCAGATCGATTCAATTTTTCCAACAAAAAAAAGAACTGCCTTGAATATATCCGAGTTTCCTTCTTGTGTTTTTTCTTACAACATTTTCTTACATAAAGGTGTGTAAACAAGACGTGGAATTGGTGGGTTTTTCCCAGCATACAATTTTTATTCTGATATGATGGTGTTACTATAAGTTGATGAAGGATGTGTGAATGACTTTAGAATGCTGTATGAATGATATGTGGGTGGATTATCATCACGAACTCTTATAAAAACGAGAAAAGAGAATATTTTCGGCGAACCGTCGACTGGTTGTGAGCATCTCCGTATCTCTTGATCACAGTGTCCATTCGCGCAATTTCGAGCACGAATTTGCATTCTTTTGTTTGTGCAGTCACTCCACCCAGACCACTGTCCACTTGATTCCAGTTCTTTTCTTCCGGTAACGAAGTTCACTTCAAATTTGTGGCTCGTTTTTTAAAACGTTTTATTTCGAACATTATTTGGAACGATCGATGCGATTTAATATGTAATGTGTTGGCTCTTTAAAATCGGCGAATTTCAGCCCTTTAGAAAGTGTAGGCCTCGGAAGTCTGCTTTTCCATCAGAGGACAACAAAAGAAAGTGGAAAATTTTGAAATTTAGAAAAAATGAAACGTAAC